CTTTATCTAATAAATTGTTTGCCTCCGTTTCATTTAGCTCTTTTTCTGGAGATTTCTCCTGTTCTTTCATTGGGGCATTTTCCTCTGTCTCCCCATTTTGGTTGCCTCTTTGTGTGCATTTCTATGTATTAATTTTATCTGCTATGACTCCCAGTCCTGGGAGGGTGGCCTTGGTAGCAGGTGTCCTATGGGAAGCAGTGATTCATTCTCTTTGATTACCTGAGCTGGGTGCATCAGGAATGTCCCTTGTGTGGGTTATGTGGGCACTCCTGTTGCAAGTGAGTCTTGATTGCTCTTGGTACGTTCATGTGTGGGGTTGACCCTCAGGCTGGCTAACTGTAAGGCTCAACCCTGACCACAATGTAGGAGCTATTCCATAGGTGCTGACCACACTAAGCAGAAATTTGCCTCAGCAGGGTTTTGTGCCTGTTAAGATCTTCCTTTAGATATGCTGCTTGTGAAGGTAATTGGATCCTACTCTGATGTCTGAAGCTGGCTCCTGGGCATGTTGGTTTTGGTGCCTCTTGGAAAAGACTCTGCTGTAGGGCAATGTCAGACCCGACCTGTTTGGAGCTACAAAACCATCCAGTTTGTGGCAGCCTCTCCTGGACCTGGATGAGTGAGGGAAGGATCAAACTGCATACCAAGGCCAGCTTTCACCAGCACCAGGTCCAGGGGGATGGGCAGAAAAAGCCCCAAGACACCCCACATGGCTCTGCTTGCCAGATGCTTGTTAGGCTCAGCACTGAAAGAGCCTCAGGCAGTTCTCAAGTTGAATGAAGTAGGTTCTCAGTGCGTCACCAGGGAGGCCAGTGGTGTTCACTAGATTGATATAGGTTCAAATTCAGTGCCAGTGCTGGGTCTGCCACTCAGCAAATACCCCAGGCCGCCTTCTGGTTGTTTGAAAACCTTTTTGGTGGGGTGGGTATCTCAAGGATTCATCAGGATGAGGCCAACAGAGTTTATAAGGCCCAAACAGACCAAGATTTGGCCAGATGAAGGGAGGGTATTGTACTGGTCAGGTGAGCAAGGGAAATATTTCCCCTGTCCTAGAGCCATACAACTTAATCTGTCCCAGATTCTGTCTGGAA